GATTCCCGGGTTTCGGCACCATATGTCCCGCGCGTGCTGTATTTTCTCGCCAGCAAGAAATACACGCAGGACACTCGGATCCTTCTGCAGAAAAGCTTTAATGCGTCTTGAGAGAGGAGAGCATAAGCTTACCAGAGCGGAGACCCCGAGCCAAGAATCCCATCCACTAATAAAGGCTGGCAGCCGCCTGGGACGTGTTACCCTATGAATGGCTTCAGCTCCTCAGGCCAAATGAGCCACGGGATAGGCAGAGATCAAAGGAATGGAGATTACCCAGCGCCTGTTGAAGTAATTTACATCTTGGTGTCTTTAGGCACCAGTATTGTAATGGATAATGCAGGAACCGGCTCCCTACAGGAAATTAATCCTGGAATTTCTATATTGATGGTACTTGGAAGGTGGCATTGGGAATGATTGGAATCAGATGATCTCATAAGCATGTAACTGGCAAGAATGGCTCAATGGTTTTATAAGATGTATGAAGAGAGATCTAATATGGCACTTTTGGGCCGGCTCTCCACAAGTCATCCATTCTGCATCCATTGAGGCAGGATAGGATGACAGATGGCATATGTCGTTAGGAGAAAGAAGCAAAACATGCCCCTTATACAGTTAAAGTCTTATGATCAGCAAACAAGCAAAATTTCAATATAATTAGCAATCACTAAAACCTTTATCTTTTCCCAGGTATAAACTTGCAATTTTACAGGAATCTCACCAGAAACTCTAATTATAGTGGGAAAACAAAACAAAACATGTATTCAAACTCCTTTTGCAGCCCTAGTGGCTCCCAAATTTGCCTTATCAAAATGTAATTCCATACAAAGCATCTTCAAAGCCATTTTTTCTATCTCACTTATCAAATGAGACAGAAAAGGAAACAAACAAAACAAACCACAATGTTTTGAGAGGCAGCTTCAGAGCCATTAACATGGTATAAATGGCTAGTTCTAAAACAATTAATGACTCTCCTTGCTTGAAGAATCCTTATCAATATATGTACGTCTTATTTTTAAAATTTTATGCTTTTGAAGTCCCTATCTTTCTCTTAAACCCTATAGTTAAAACCAATATTCAAAGTATCTTTAATAAATCCCCAACTTGACACCCACAGAAACAGCTGACCTGAGGTAGTAGGAGCTCAGATTCTGGACTTACAGCAGGGGAAACTGCATAGGACCAAATTGGGCCCTCTGAATGTGGGTGACAGTAGTGTGGCTTGGGCAGTCTATGGGGCCACTAGTAGTGGGACCAGGATTTATCCCTAGTGCTTGAACTGGCTTTTTAGAGCCCCCTCTCTTTGGAGGAATACCTTGTGCAGCCTAGATATAGGGTCCTTACATCAAAGTAAGGACCCAGAATTTGTTGACTCCCCATGGAAAGCCTTACCCTCTCTGAGGAGTGAATGGGGAGGTAGAGTGAGGGGAAGGAGGAGGTAGCAGGAGGAGAGGAAGGACTGGGAACTGGGATTGGTATGTAAAATGAGAAAAGATTACTTTTAAATTAAAAAATTAAAATTATAAATCCCCACCACGTGGTGGTAGCACATGCCTTTAATCCCAGCACTTGGGAAGCAGAAGCAGGTGATCTCTGTGAGTTTGAGACCAGCCTAGTCTACAAGAGCTAGTTTCAGGAAAGGCTCCAAAGCTACACAGAGAAACGCTGTCTTGAAGAACCATAAACAAACAAACAAACAAATACACAAATAAATCCCCAACTCTACTTTGTATTGGCCAATGCTGAAATTCTTTTCTTCTCTGAAACCATGTAGATTAAAGTACCTACAAAATTAAATGAGGTTCACAGAACGCTGAAATAGTTACCCAAAGCTGTGTCTGTACTCCCAAACCTGTGATACAGAAATAAGGTTTTCACCAAATGCTGACACTTACATATTTAACTTCCCAAACTCTCCTATTGTGAACTAAACTTATTTGTGATATTTTTTTACAAGTTCTTGTTTTGTGATTCCGACTTACCTGGACCTTACTCTGTAGGTCAGAAGACAGAATATCGGTTAACTGTGACAATATGTATAAAAACAATCTCAGCATTCAGGAATCAGAGAAAAGAGATTATTAAATTCAAGGTTAGCCTTGGGAATTAGTGCAACTATATCTCAAAAAGAAAATGGGTTTGGTGTATAGCTTATTGATATGAAACTTATCTAATATACATGAGGGCTTAGCTTCCATCCTGAATACAAAAAATATAGAAGAAAAAATATAATCAGGCATATTAGCACACATATGTAATGTCAGCAGTCAAAAGACTGAAATAGGAGGATCATGAATTCAAGGCTGGTTTGGGCTTCAAAGATAGCCTCAAATGGTTATCTTAAGACTAGCTTGTTACCCCAGGGAGACCTCCTTGGAGAAAACTAGATTGTCCTTTGCAAGTGGTTACCACTAGAAAATAATTTCCGTGTTAGTGATGTGGGTCACCTGTCCACCTGTCCTTTCATCTCTAGGACCCCACCTGGTGCAGACTCATGCAAGCCCTGTACACACTCATTCTCTCTGAGTTCATATGTATGTTTGTCCTTTTGTGTTTAGATGGGAAGGCCTTGTTTCCTTGGTGCCCTCCATCCCCTAATGCTCTTACACTCTTTCTGCCTCCTTGTCTATGAGGTTCTCTGAGTCCTGAAGTGATAGATTTGATGGAGGCATCCAATTAAGGGATGAGTGTTCTAATCTCTCTCACTCTCTGCATATTGTCTGTCTATGGGTTTCTGCCTTTTCCCATCTGTTGCAGGAAAAAGATTCTCTGATGATGGTTGAGCAAGGCACTGATCTATGAGTATAGCAAAGCATCATTAGGAGTCATTTTATTGCTGTTACTTTAGTAGAATGGTAGGTTTGGGTTTTACCCTAGTTCTCTGGGATATATAATTTCAGGTTTTTCTTTGTCCAAGAAGTACCAGGTATGGGTTCCATCTCATGGGGTGAGTCTTAAATCAAATCAGATTGTCTTAGCTATTATTCTATTGCTGTGAAGAGACACCATGTCAAAGGCAATACTTACAAAAGAAAGCATTTAATTGTGGTCTTGCTTACAGTTTCAGATGCTTAGTCCATTATCATCATGGTAGGGACATGCCAGAATGCATTCAGGCAGGTATGTTGGTGGAGAAGTAGCTAAGAGCTACACCCTGATTCACAGGCAGAAGCAGAGAGAGATTCGGGGCTTATCATGGGCTCTTAAAACCTTAAACCTCTCCCCAGTGACACACTTCCTTCAACAAGGCCACACTTCTGATTCTTTTAAATAATGTCACTCTCTGATGCCTAAGAATTCAATTCTATGATCCCATGGGGGCCATTATAATTCAAACCACCACACAGAAAATGGATGATTAATCCCACTGGATTTGTGAGATCACTGTATACACATATCTTGCAGGCAGGCCACCATTGTAGAACAAATGGATTGGTGTTTGCATTGCTCCTTTAATAGTGTGTAGAGTACCTCCCCGTAACAATAACACAATCTTATAGGGAAGAAGGCTCCAGATTGGCACCAGCTTTAAGTCTCCATCTTGAATGAGTTGTGTAAATGTTGTTTTTTAGCTATAGGACCTTGCTGTCAGTTTATGGGAAGTCCATGTAGCCTTGGAAAAAGCCTGAGTTGTTTGGGGATTCCTATGGTTCAACTTTAGCCAACAACTCAATTAGATGTTCCCTACTCCAGGTACTGGAAGCTTCATTTTGTGACAAGAGATTGCCAGTTTTGTGTCCCTGTAGATAATTTAGGAAGCTTTGACTGTGGAGGTAGTGGGTAGAGGGTGACAAGGGTGAGAATATGAGGAGAGATGGATAAAGTTAAGGCCATTTAAGTGGTAGTGTGGAAAACTAGTAAACTCAAAGCTGCCTGTTTTATTTCTGCTTATATTCATTAATTGTAAACAACCTAGATATTTGTCAATGGAAGAATAAATAAAGAAAATGTGGAACATTTACACAATGATTTATCATGAAACTGTTAAAAATGAAATTTTAAGTAAATGGATGTAACTAGAAAATAATCAACATGAGGTAACTCAGATACTGACAGACAAACATTATATGAATTAGCTTATTTGCTAATGTGGATTTTAGCTGTTAAGTCTTCATTATGAAGGTTACAATACATAGAAGCAAAGAGGTTAGCTACAGAGTAGTGGATCAGGTATGAGGGATAAATTTCCCTAGGAAAGGGAAATGAAGCCCATAGACATGGGTGAATGAGAGGGCAAGTGGAAATAGTCCAGATTCTCATTTTAGTCTTGGATTCAAAAGCAATATGAGGGTTAGGAACTCTGACACTAATTTCAATATGCATTAAGTTTATTATTTACTCTTATTGACAGGAAAAAACACAGATTTTATATGGCAATTCAAATAGGATTTTATTTAATGAAAGCCCATAATCCAAATAATGAATTAAGGAAACAAAAAGAGACAAAAAAGATAAGGGATTGACAACTTTACCATTTTTTTTGTCACCGGCCACCTTTGGCATCATTTTGAGTTCTTTGAAAATTTATGTAGACAAAATAAGAAATGCTTGCTACCTTTGCTTGATTTTCAAGGCAGTATAAGGTAGTAATTTACTTTTAAATTTTGTAATGGGGTGTCTTGCCTATGGCTAAATTTGAAGAAAGACAAATTGTGCCACCTATTAGATAGAAAACTGCAGCTAGAAGTGCCAGACCCATGGCACTACCAATCTTCTGAGTATCTGGGTGAGAAGGCATGTTGAAAGATGGTGGAAAGGCAATCCCCCATTTGCGTATGATGGATATGTAATTGAACAAAACAGCAAGATAAAGAAAGCTGCTAGCAATGATGTTCACAATCCCTGAAAGGCTCAATGGATTGCAGGTGGCATTCCTCCAGTCTCTTCCCATGCACATTTTCCAAAAAGCAATAAAGGTGGTGATTTTCCCAAAGAGGCCCAGAAAGCCAGACACCAGCAGCAGGTGCTGGCTTATTCGAATATACAAAGGAAGGAAGGAGTCATGGTAGTTGTATTGGTGACATATTCTGATTTCGTTGGTGGTATTGCTATTGTAGAAAACACAGGCTCTCCATATGCCCACAAAAGCCACTGTAGGCTTGAAAATCTTCGGATCTTCATAGTACCACACTCGCCACTGAGGAAGCCCAACAGAGATGTAGCAAAGTAGCCAGGCCATTGTGGTTAAAGCAAAACCTCCCATTTGGTGATTGTAATTTTTCATCATAATGGTGACAGCAAACTGAAAAGATACACAGCAGAATATGAAGATAGTTACTCAGGACAAGGACCGAATACTAGGTTTACAGAAGTAGAGCAAAAGTGTTATGTTTGAGAGTGTGGGGCTTGGCCTAGAGATCTGCTGACTTGGATGTGGTATGAGAAAAGGCTGAGAAGGTGCTTTTGGTAATATATCCATGAAGGTAGGTAACCGTACACCCTCTATAATGTGTAATTCTACATTTGCCATAGACTTCTGGAAATCCTGCTGCCTTTCCTTCCCAAGGGCTACTTAGAGGCATGAGACACTACATCTGATCAGTAGAATGATATTTTCAAGGACCACCCATGGTAAGTTAGTGTGAGAAGTTTGTCCTGGTGGTATGTTAAACATTGCCTGATCATTCATTGTTCTTGGTCATTTGGATTAGCTCAAAGCTTTGCCTGTTAAGATTAACACCATATGAATGAGCATGATATCTGAGACTTTGTGTTCATACCTTGTGTTGCTATTTCTCTTGAGTATATAAGGCATTCAACTTGGAGGAGGCACAGTGTCAAATTCATAGAGTTTGCATTGTAGAACTTACCGAACTATTTCACACAATTTGCCCTACTTTTACATACCCAGCAGCAAAACTGGAATTTTTCAGATTCTTTATAACTTCCTTCTCATTGGCTAAGTGCAATACACCAACACATCAATACTGAAAGACAGTAAATGAATGAAAACTCATGAGGTAATATAAAATTAACTTGCTTTGGTATATGCAATATAATGTATATTATGCATTATCTTAAAGTAACCTACTTCACTGTAATACTTGAAATATATCAAATCCTAACAAAATTTGTGAACATGCATCATGCTCACCCTTAGGCAATTGTACAATACAAAGAAACTGTAAGTACATTCATAGTTTTATGGCTAGTTTTGATTGTCTACTTGAAACAACATAAGAATGAACAAATAAGGTAATCTCAGTGAGGAGTTATCTAGAATTGGTTGGTCTGTAGGCCTGCCTGTGAGGGCTTGTCTTATTAATGTTAAGTGAAGTAGGAACACCTAACTAGTGTGAGCAGCACCATTCCCCAGGAAGGGGATTATGAGCTGTATGCAAGTGTAGAAATGCATCTGAGTGCTGAAAGGAATGCACTAATTCATTGCTCCCTGTTCTGGACAGTGGATGTTATGTGCCTATCTGCTTCAGGTTCTTGCCATCTTGACTTCTCCAGATTGATGGATCTTGACCTGGAAATGTGAGTCAACAAACACTTTCTCCAGTAAGTGGCTTTAAAAAAAAAACAGTATTTCAGGTCATAAACACAAAGGAAAATTAAGACACACAGCATAATTTGTATCTATTCATTCATGTTTACATTTACTTCTGTCTATATTAAAATATGTGGGTGGATACTAAACATGACAAATTAGAGTCCTTGGAATCTAGTTGGTCTATGTTTCTTTTAAGATAGAAATCTGTCACAATTGTTTCTGTCACTGATCTTTTTTGTTTGCTTTGGAGTCTGTGTTTGTCTGTTTGTTTATATTGGCCAGGGTTTTACAATGCAAGCTAGCCTTTTCTCCAAATTCATATGTAGTCCACATTTGTTTCAGACATGAAACAACCTTCCTCAGATTCCTGGAGCTGAGGTTATTTATATACATGACCACCATACATAATTTGTGTAATTTTTTTATGGTGATGGCATTTGTTGTGTGTGTGTGTGTGTGTGTGTGTGTGTGTGTGTGTGTGTGAGATAGATTCCCAGGACTATTGTATTTTACTGAAATGTTCTACCTTATCTATACCCCTATAATAGGAAGAGCTTTTTTACTTCTTTTTTCCATGTTTTATTTAAATTAGAAACCAGATTATTTTACATGTCAATCCTAGTTCCCTCTCCCTCCCCTCCTCCCCTGCCCCCCACTAACACACTACCTATCCCATACCATTTCTGCTCCCCAGGGAGAGTGAGGCCTTCCATGGGGGTCTTCATAGTTTATCAGATTCTTTGGGATAGGGCCTAGGCCCTCCCCCATATGTCTAGGCTCAGGGATTATCCCTCTATGTAGAATGGGCTCCCAAAGTCCATTCCTATGGTAGGGAGTTCTTAAAGTACATTCCCCCTAACTCAAAGTGTTATAAATGAGGAGAGTAGATGTCACCTTGTGCCTGAGACCTGCTTTTAAATGAAGGCTCAAATTATCAGTCTAGCTTGGGTGCAGAAAAATGGCAGATGTAGTTGAAGGTAACTGGAGAGAGTGAAGCTAAAGAAGTCATCCAAACCAATATTTGGAAAACATTTTGGAGAGTGTCTAAGATTCTTTGTTAGTAATACTTTGGACAGTGGTGTAAGGTGAGGGATTGTTGGAGTTGGAAGCCAGAATTTCATTATTATAGCCAGAGCCCTTTGCCAAAGTGCTTTCTTAATAACCATCATTCTGTTAGAGCTGATAACCCTAAATATATTCTTCTCTGTTGCTGAATATTAAAGCTGAGGCATCATGCATAATAGACAAGCACTCTTCTACTAAACTGTTTTATTAGACACAATGTTGAAAGGTGAACAAGTGTGTCTTGATTCCAAGAGCAGTCCATGAATGCATGGTCTTTTGCTGAGAGTAGTTTGTCTGATCTGAGAAATAGCCTCATTGAATAGGCCTAAATACCTTCAAGAACACTCTGGAATCCAGCATGCACTTAAAGTTGTGATCCTCTAGCTTCTGCCTACACCTAGACACTAGGATATACTTATAAGAAAAGAATTTAGAAGAAAATGAATACTAATTATTGAAATATTTCATGAGCTATCTGTGCTCTAAAAGGTTTGATGAAGGTAATGGAATACAGACTCTTTCTCTAGCAAAAAAAAAACTCCAATCAGAGATTTAACTGAAAACAATTTAAAAAATCTACTGAATTTCCCTGGGCTAGTCCTTCTTCTTACAACTACAAGTGATTCAAAAGCTTCTTGTACATAATGATGCTCTCAGAGAGTTCAGAATGGAGTTATAGAATTTCCTAAGATGGTAAATGAGACAGCCCTGAGCACTGAAGGAGATGAGAAGAGCCAGAAGTACTCAGAACACAATAACAAAGAGGATGATGAACTCTAAGCCATGAAATTTGGAATGCAAAAACATGGCTTTCACAAGTAGCACACTGCCCCAACTCAGTTTTCTTGATCCCTCATGTTCCCAGACCCTATCCCCTCCCTTCCACCCACACCATCAAGTAAAAAATGACAATTGTGGCTGCTAGGGCCCAGAGCAGGGATAAATAAGGAGTGAAATTTGATAAGTATACAATTAAGTAAGAGAGGATGGAATGTCATGATGGTTTCATAACACAACAGTGAATGTTCTGTCATGAAACTATATACTGAAAATGGTCAGTGGTGAATTTTGATATAAATGAAATTCTGGCCTCATTATTCTGAGTATACAATAAAGATGGATATAAGCTCTACTAACCAGAGATGCTACCATCAAATATACTGATGGTAGGTGACGTGACAGGGTAGCCAGCTACAAAGACCAGTGCAGCTGACAAGGAATTGGCTCCTCTCTCTTGTCCTTTGAGGCCCCTTGCTGCCTTCACAGAGAGTTCTGAGTTCTTGACCTATTATTGGCTTCTAGTTCTAAGAATCCTATTATGTCATCAAATTCCAAGCCACACTAATCTCACCTACCTACTTTCTGTCAACAGTGTTTGAATCGTGACACTGTTGATTGGGTGGGGAGACTGGTATTGTCTGTGCTTTCTTTTTTGTGATATAAATTCTTTTCAGTATTTTCAGTATTTGGTGTTTACTAATGGGATTCCTTGTTCATGGTCATTATACACTTGACTAATACAGACATGCTTTCAGTTGCTTTTTCTTTTCTCCCTCTTTGAAGAATAGTTTCTATCCTCTGTCATTGGAGGTACTGATATTTTAGAAAATCCATTGCCATGTAAAGATGCATTTTTATGTTAGAAGTATGTGATTTGTTTTCTAGTTTTATACTGGGTTATAATTAAGACATTGCCTTAATATCAGAAAAGACTTTGAGACCCTGTTGAGACTATAAAGACCTACAGGATCTTTTGAAGTGGGATGGAATGCATTTTGCTTCATTATATTGCTACAAAGCATATGGAGGCCAGGGTGTGGGATGTAGTGGTGTGAATGAGAATGGCCTCTATAGGCTCATCTGTAGAAATGCTTTGTCCTTAATTAGGGGAATAACAGACTTGGTGTCAACACTCAAAGAAAGTGCTTGGCTAGTTCAACAGAGATAGGTACAAAGTTCTAGGTGAATTCTACAGCCAATAAAATAATAGGTGCATTGGAAGGGGGAAACTACTCAGACACATTTACAAATTACTATGAGTAAACAATTATAGTTGGTATTACAGATTATTATAGAGCAACTTTGTACATTGAAATATACTGGAAGAGTGTTTTCCATATTGCCTAGTAAAAAGTAGATATTCAAAATGTTTCCCTGTGAGACTGGAGAGATGAGAAATTAGGAACATTTGCCTCTCCTCTAGAGGATGAAAGTTTAGTTCCAAACACCCATGTCACATGACTCAAAACTACCTATAATTCCTGCTTTTGAGTGCCCACCTCTCTCCTCTGCTCTCTGAAGGTATATCCACATATATGCCACACACTCCCATCAACACACATGCATACACATAAGTGTAAGAATTTGGATTCTATAGAAATATCTTAGCGGTTAATAGCACTTGCTTCTCTTCCTCAGTACCTTTAAAATCACAACACTCATGTGGTATCTCACAAACATCTGTACTTTCATTTCAAATAGATCCTTTGCCTTTCTCTGGCTCTCAGGAGCACTTGGAGCAAGTGATGAATAGACATATACACACCAACACACCAATACATGTAAAATATATTTTTAAAAACATTAATCTTTAAAATATGTCCTTAGACTCCTAAGGTTTCTTGTTTATAGGAAAAAAAGGAGAGCTAGGGAGGACGATGTGAGGGCTGATAGGAAATTATTGAATAAATACCAATATAATATTTATTGTGACTTTTTCATAGTGTTTGAGATAGTCTCACATTATATCTCCCAGTCATCTAGATATTGTGTTCCAACATGCTCCAGAGCAGAAGGCTGGGATTTTAGGCATGTCCCTCAATGCTCTTCTTAAACATTCATAAGTATCCAATATTTTATTTTGAGATTAATATCCATTGTATTTGTTTTTAAATGTTCTATAATATATTGACCTATATTTTGGTCATGACTATTGGATACCAGTAAGAATAGAAAAAATAACACTGACACATGAATTTTCCCCCTACATTTGCAGTACTATGTGAGTTCCCAGTAGTTATTGTGTCCTAGACTGCATGCCTACAAACAAGGGGAGCAACTGTCCCTACAGATTAGAATAACTGTCTTTATCATAGTGTTTTCCAAAGATGATTGGTTTTATGATTTCTCTTGCCTCATTCTTCTCAACCTACATGTGCCATTCAAATGCATCCAAGGCTAGGGTGTTAATTTTGATGTTTCAATTCAGATGGGGACTCAGACACAAATGGGTGTCTCCCATTTCTTACATTTGGAGTTTTCCTTTTGATTGAGTTAGATGAAATGTTCTTAAAGAACTTCTGCCCACACATGGCTCCATCTCTATCTTTTGCTTAATTACAGCATGAAAGTACATATATACCCACATTGACTCCTGAAGTAACCCTCTTCAGAAAGTTCCATGAAAAATCATGCAACAAGTCTATCTGTGGAATTAACAATGGACTATTAAAAGATAAATGAATGTTGCCTCTAAACACTTCTTTTTGATGAATGAAAATTAGATCATCTTAAGATTGACCCGTCCAGCATTCCTGATAGCGAGAATTATTAAGGGACTGTAAGGCTAAGGCAGAAGCATTTACCATGGATTTAAGGCCTGAGAATTCCAGTCCTTTAGGACTGTGGGGGTTTTTATAGTCATCAGGCAGCTCAGAATCTAATGCCTCTAGGTGATGGTAGAGGACCAAAACCAGTTTTTCAAGGATGGCGTCAATCTGAGACTTAATGAATCTGGTTAGTTTTTGAAAAGGTAGAGGTGACAATTTAAGTAGTTAATCTAGTAGAACAGGCAAGGTAGGAATTAGTAAGTGCCTGCAATTCCCTGATAAAGGGGAGGGGT